AAGAAAGAAAAAAGATACAAAGAAGTGGCTTCCAATCTTCTTTACAGCAATTATAAGTACAATTATAAATTTATCTCTTTTTCTAAAGTTAGATCCTGACTCTCTTCTTTCTATAACTTATCCTATCTAATAATCAAAACCATAAATCATAAGTTCATTTTTTTCTGTTTTATGCAAAAAGTCCATAAGGGGTTTCCAGTCAGCAATAAATGCAGATATTGCCTTTGATCAAACAAATCAATTTGGCCATCTCAGCAAGTTCTAGCGTCTTCACCAACCATTCCTCCATTGTAGGTATTGCCAGATCTTTCCATCTTTATGCATAAATAATCTCGCTGCAGTTATCGTACACAAAAACAAAGTTCCGTGACTTTTTTCCAACTGTTTGTCCATTAGTCCCAAGACGAAGTGATGGTGGTACTTGCTAGGTTACTTAATCCATAGGAGATTCAATTTTCCAAATAAAACCAGACCATTACAATATTAAATTACAAATTACAGATTAAAAATTAATTGTAAAATTGCTAGGCTGTTGAGTTCTAAAATGATAATTGTCCCTGTTTTGGAGGATTTAGTAAATATCTACTAGCATTGGAAATAATTTTTTTCCTGATATTGTTGTTCTTAATCAGTAAAACAAACAAGCAAAACATATTTTCTGTCTTTTTATGAGAAGAACCACTTAAAAGCTTGAGTTCAGAGCAAGATATAAGATATGCAGGGAATGATATTTCTCCCTAATAAGTATATTCTTCTTGATCCTCTTAGAAGCCAGTTAAAAGATGCATTTGTTGATCAGATGCTGATGAGAACACAGGGATCTTGTTCTCCTAGAAAAAACTGATATCTGTGTACTGTCCAGTCTCTGAAGGCTATAGTTTAAACTTATACCAAAAATACTTGGTAAATCTCATGTATATATTTTGTGCCCTTGGTTCATTTTATTCACCATATATAGTGGTTCAAGAAATAAATATATTTTGGCAATGAAGTTGGAGTTATATAGAGAGGGCTGCTTTATGCACAGAATTTCTAATAAACCAGTTGAAGGCAATAGTGATTCTTTCATTCTCCCCTTCTTATTCTCCTTTTTGTTTTTCCTGCAGTTCTGATGAGTTGCATTTCTTCAACAGCCAAAACTGCCTAAAAGTCCCATTTTACAGGACTTGGTTTTTTCTGCCATTATCTTGTGCTTTTAGGAAGTGTTTTATGCTTAGTTATACCATATGTATTTCTTGCTCAGAACTGGCTCTCTGCCAGACTGGTTCTCTTCATACCAAGTGCTCTGTGATTTTGGGTGCCTTGTGTGTGACAACTTCCAAAGCCAGCACCATCTGATTAGGTAGCCAACCTGAGAATTTATCCATCTGTTTCAGTTCTAAATAGGAATGCTGGCTTATAATTTGCAAGAGAGTTTTTATAAGAGGTGTGTAACAAAATGGAGTAGCTAAGCATTCTCTGCCGTCCTATCGCATGATCTTCCAGCATATGAACTGTATTTAAAGCTGTTAAACTCCATCTGGGAAATGCTGAGAGTGAAATAGATTAAGGCTTCCACATATATAGAGAGGGGGAGGAAGCTGAAATGGGCTAAGAAGCTGGCAGGAAGAAATTTGTTGAACTTGGAAGAAGTGAGCTGAAGATGGTTGGTTAAAGCAAGTGGGATTTAGGCAGCTTTGGCTACTGAAGCAGTGCAGGTTCTGGAGTGGGTGGAATACTACTGAGGAGGGTTCCCAGGTGAAGGAAGATTACAAAAGATGGAGGCAGACCAGACTTCAAGAGATAAGTCTATATAGGAAGCCCTTGATTAAGGAGATTTTTTTTCTGTATGCAAGAAACATGATAAAGAGAATTATAATGCAAACAGGAAGTTCAGGATAGGTAGGAACAGATGGTAGCAAGCCAGATTTTGTCCGTTATGATCCCTGTTTAGTTCCACCCACTGTGCTATAGGCTCCATTAAGCATCAGCTGCACTTGGTGAAGTTATTGACTGGGACATTTCTTTGCAGGCTTATACTATACCAAACCTCAACCTGCATGAGTTGAGGGGAAAAAAAACTTCATATCATAAAGCAATATTATTACTGGAACAATTAATATGTACTAATAAAGATTATTTTCACTGTGATTATCAGACCTGTGAAATCACGTAGTCACAATATCTTAGTTTGGATTGTACATATGGAGATTGCTATTGCCTACCCAATTTGCCCAAAGATGCAACTAATTTAAATAATAGATTTTAACATGTTTCCATTCTCTCTTTGCAGGTTGGCTTGATTTACATGTTCAACCTCATAGTTGGCACAGGAGCTCTAACTATGCCAAAGGCCTTTGCTACTGCTGGTTGGCTTGTCAGCCTTATTCTAATAATGTTCCTGGGGTTTATGAGGTAAGATTTTGCTACATGTTACTTCTGTTAACCATTATTAAGAAATTATGTATATACAAGTATAGTGAATATTTTAAAAGGAAATATTTATGTGACCCAGCACTTATGATTTCATTAAGAAGGCAGACCTAAGTGTTTTGCAGGTGTTCTGAAGTAGGTGAAAAGATCAGATAATATTTTTCATATTTCATTTTTTATTATGATAGGGAATGAGACCTGATCTTTCTTCTTGCTTGTTTGTGAGATATTCATCAAGCATTGATGCAATGATCATAAAAAGAATATACCTGAGCTCTGGAAATTTCAGGAATCCTGCTAGTTAAATTCCCAACTCTTTTGCTTCATACTGAGTTGCACTAATTAGGAGCTGTAGCAAGCACTGCTTTGTTACCTATCTGAAAAGCTAATATTGCAGAGAGCTTTGGTGACCCTAATTTGGCTAAAACAAGAGATAAGAGATATGTAGAGAGAGACCTGGGATTAGGTGTGGCTCATTGGACAACATTCTTTGTTGCATACTTTCAGTATGATCACCGGCAAGTATGGTCAACATCAAATATCCTGCTTTAACGTTACATAATTCTGTAAATCAAATTCAGCAGCATCTTTGGGCTGAGTGGAAACACATCTTTAAAACTAAGGTTAAAAAAGCAGAGCTGATAAAAGACCTGAGCAACAGTGAAGTGCTCTACAGAATGGAATTGGGGATCATAGTGGAAGAAAAGGAAACCGGCTATCTCGATAACAAACCAGCTGTGTGACCTATTCTCGCTGCCAGCAGACTGCATTCTTGCTTTAATTGATTTTTGACAAATTGAAATAACACAGTAAATACACAATTAAGTATAATGATAGGATTTTTAAAAAATAAATTCTTTCCTGAGTCAAGCGTAACTCTTAGTGATTACATGGACACATCTATGTTTTTTTCTTTGTTATTGCTGCCTTTTTAAAAAAAATTCTCAGTCTAATCTATACCCTTGAAATTTTCTGGTAATCTCCTGTCCAAGTACTACTAGGTTTGACCTGTTTTTTCAAGGTCAGCCTAGGCCTGCTAGGTGTTTTCACCTCCTGGGACTATATGAAAATATAATTGCCCTGAAAAGGATAATTCCTAAATTTTGTGAATGACAATGTTTGAACAAATGTATCCTTTTTTTAATGCCATTTTTTTCTATACTGTTACATAGGTTAGGTACTTCTAATGTTTACAGTGTTGTTAACTTAGCTGCTATTATTAAAGCTGATGGAAGCTGGAAGCTTTCAGTTTGTTAGACAACTAACACATGGTGATAGCTTTGGGATTTGTTGATGAATTGAACTGCTATATACTGAATATCATAGAATAAATGTTCTCTGAATAGTCTGATACATGTAGAAAATTTTGTTTTCGCATCTGATATATTCAGTAATCATTGCTGACATGAAAATTAATTTTCTGAAATCAGGTTCTCTTTTTAAAATTATGCATCACAGATTAATTGAGATAATTTAAGATCCATGTCTATTCTTGCCTACTGAACTCGCTGAAATATTTAGTTCATTTATTTAAAATAATTCTTGTAAAACATGGAGATTATAGATCAGTCTATATTGCACTATGAAAAGTAAATGTAGTGAGAATGGATTACTTAAAAAGTATATAAAAGAAGAAGACATTGGAGTGGGAATGGAAAGAAGAAGAGATAAGGTCAAGTATGTATTCTGATGACTGAATGTAGAAAAATGAGTGCCCAGTACAAAATAAGTACTTTGAAATGGTTTAGGTCCATAGAATGAATATCATTCCATAGAATTTAGTTCCATAGAATGAATGGGGATCAAATCACAAAACAAAAATATGAAGGAAAAGTGAATGGGTCAAGAGGAAGAGGAAGTTGGGATTGGAAGAGATGTTGAAAAAGAGAGAGGAGAAGTTTATAATACAAAAGGCATTGTAGAGCATGGTGCAAGGAACTAGTGAAAGCAAAGATAGTTTGCAAGGATAGAAAGGTATGAAAATGATAGCGAATAGGTTGCTGTGGATAAGATCTAGTTAGATTTCTGTCCTCTCCTGTCTTTAATTTCTTTTGCTTATTATTACCTTTTCTGTGTCTTGTATAAGGGTAGATATGTTTCTAATCCATCATAAAGTAAAGAATTTATTGATCATGTGTATGGTTGTATGAATTGATATCCGTATTTCATATTTAGGGTTTTTAAAAATTGTTCTAGTCTCTGAGTAAGTCCACTGCCCCCCTGTTTCTGTTTCCCAAGAGGTGGATTACCCCAGTGGCTGATGCAGTTTTGTCACTGCTGTTTTTTATATTGTGATAATCAGACTTCCCTATAACAATTTTGGTTTTGAAATAGGTGCTGAGCAAGGATTATTGAAGGAGTTGTCATTTGGCATACTCTTCCCTATCTTTAATGGAGCCAAGCTTAACAATTTGTTTGATAGTTAAATAATGAAGCAGATTGAATACAGATGGCAGTAGAAAATTATGCATCACAGATTAATTGTGATAATTTAAGATCCATGTCTATTCTTGCCTACTGAACACACTGAAACATTTAGTCCATTTATTTAAAATAAATCTGCATAACATGAGCCTTTTGTAGGTCTATGAAGGGTACTGGTAGTGGTGAAGAAAGGAGAAAAAAGGGGAGAATTAATGAATATGTTTAAATATATATACACGTATACATGTTTGCCTTTGCAGTCATACTTGCATTTCAGAAAGTCCATAAAACAGTTTCTTCTGTATTTTTTCTCAGTTTTAGAATCTCCCTCTGGATTGTTTTTTGTCTGGCTGTATGCTTTTTGAGGATAGTCCTTTAACTTTTTGCTGATTTTTTAAAATTTAATTTTCTTTGCTGTATGGTACTTTAAACACCTGTGGATAAAAGCCATATTAATGTTAAATGAGTAAAATGACAGGACAATTTTAAGTATTGGTACATATTGGGTAATGTCATCTTCAATAACATTCTGCCATTTTGTTACTAAATAGGTTTAGGTACTAACACACATAGATTATGCTTCAAATACTTTTGAAAGTATTATTAAACATTTCTCCAGGTACACAAGGCATGTTGGCTATATTTTTTTCCAGTTAGAATTTTATATCTAATAGAAAAAAACCTGGTTAAATATCAGATTCTCTGATTGTTTTGTTGGTTGTTTTATTATATTTAATAATGTCCACCACTTAAAAATTTTAGCAGATTAGAAGCATTTTAAGTAAAAATTAACAATAACTAATAAAATAACATAGTTGTGTTTTTGAACAAATATTGTTTTGAGTGGTGTGAAGGAATGCTGCAGAAGTAGGCACTAATGTATACTTTTTTGATTGAGTGTAAATGCTATTATGAACAATGGATTTTTAAAGCATGGCAAAATATATAATCATTATATTCTGCCTACTAGTGTAGTTGCTAGTAGCCTCCAGAGAGTGGAACTCTCTTGGCTAATCACCTGCCTCTAGACAATA